TAATTGGTAATTTGCAGCATCAGTGCTTTAGATTTTTTTTGTAGCTGGTTAGTGATATTACCCCAAACTGCATGCTTATTGAACATCAGCTTCTAGACAATAATTAGGAAATGGTACAACCTTCTGGCTTCAGACTGGGAGCCAGGTCAGGAGGTAAGAGTGCAGAGGTCAGGTACTTGTGAAGATCATTCATGCCGGCATGACGGAAAAGTGTGAATTATCAGAGGTCAGAGGTCAAAAGCCCATCACTCTCCTCTGAATCGTCTCCATTTGTCCTCCTTTCCTTGCTCTTTGAAATCCTTCGCACGGCATTAGCTGACTGTGTCGTAGGCAGCCAAGCCGGTAATCTGCGTATTCAGGCTCACGTTACGCCAGAAAGGTGCAGAGACGGGCCCAGAATCAGCCACTCACAAGGCCATATGCTGTCCTTAACAAGAAGCTTATGTACTTCCGCTCCCTGTGGTTGGCACAGCGTACAGAAACAGCTGTTAGGACCCTCTCTAATAGGCGTCTTTGGTGAAGACATGCATGCAGGGAAAGCACTTGAAGGTAGTGACTTTAGGCCAGGCTGCCTGTCGCATTGGTATGCTGGGGCAGGTCTCCCCGGTACAGAACGAGAGGGAGGTGGCAGTAGGGGCCGGCAGGAACGCCTCTAATGGCCTTTTTCGTGATCCTGCCGCTGCCTTGTCGCCCATTGACCTCTATTTAGACAAAGGGAGGGAGAAATTAAACTACCACAAGGGTGGAGATTATTGCCTGGGGGGGTCATGACCCACCCCGCCTGCGCCCCGCCCCCTCAACAACCGCATTCAGCACATGCATTTCAATCAGCCCGGTTCATTCAGGTGAATGAGTGTGTGTGTGTGTGTGTGTGTTTGCATAGATTACATTTAACTTCCTTACTTTTGGGGACATTTCTCAGGTCCCCATATGGATAACCAAAATTTTATTTAAAAAAATAAAAATAAAAAAATGTGAATGCAATCAAAAAAGGAAAAATTTCTCATATCTTGTTTGGTTACATTTGGTTAGGGGTAGGGCTGGGTAGGGGTAAGGTGGTTATTGTTGGGATTGCGATTATGCCCATAAACATTAATGGATAATCCCCACAAAGATATGAGTACGGGTCTCAGCGTGTGTGCGGGCAGAAATGGGCATCTCTGTGTAATTCTATTTATCTTAAGAATTTTGTAATAATTCACAGAAATGAAACTTCAGGCCCATTCTTCATGATGCCGGCGGACTGCTTGCCATGTATTTCCCTGAGTCTGAGTGACACGCTGAGGGGGCTGAGATCAGATGCTCCCTGCGTATCGGCTTGCGTGTTTTCGCCTGCCCTCGGGGCATTAATCCTGCCTTTCTGTAGCAGTCGGCCAGCTGCTATCACAGTGCTTATGGAAATGGACCTCGCTGTTTGCACTTTGAAGTGTGTCCCTGGAACTGCCCCGGCATCGTAGCACAGACAATGGAGTTGGGATTAAAAGGTGCTTTGCACAAAAGTATTAAAGCTAACTGATTGAAAATCATTATAATATCAATTAGTAGTAGCCACAATTGTAATGGTAGTTAAGACTTTTAAGCATAGTTAACCATACAGCAAAATAATCATTTGAAGTTGATACTGATTTATTTATTATTTATTTACTGCATATTTACCTCCTTGAGCTGATGAGATTAAATATGTGCAGCACTATAGGCTCAAAGCTCCCAGATTGGGGATTTGAATCTCACCCGTTATGTGTGTTTGTGGAGTTTGTGTCCCCGTGTGGCGAGGATCACCTTTGTGTCATGTAAAGGCATACATTAAATTAACTGGTTCTTGTAAAACGCCTGTTACTTTCGTGTTGGGTGGGGGCGGGTGAGTTATGTATATATTACCTTATGGGGACCTGTAACTTTTTATCTTGTGGGGGCATTTTTTTGCCCCCCACAAGGAAAACCTCAATTTGATACAAACCTGTGACTTCAATCATCAATCCATTTTCTGAAATCACTCATCCTTTTCAGGGTTGCGGGGGGTCCGGAGCCTATGAGCTCAAGCCAGAGAACAACCCAGGACGGGGCGTCAGTCCCGAGGACACACTCACACACCATTCACGCATACAGGCAGCCTGGCAACTCCAATCAGCCTCAGCATGTTTTTGGACCGTGGGGGGAAACTGAAGCACCCACAGAATACCCTTCAATAATACAGGGAGAACGTACAAACTCCACAGACATGGAACCTTGGCAGAGACTCGAACCCAGGTCACAGAGGTGTGAGGTGAAAGCGCTAACCACTGCACCAACAGTGCCACCCCCATTACATCATTCAAAACTAAAAATGCCAAAATCGTGTATTTTGTTTGGTTATTGATGGTTATGGTTAGGTTGTCTGTCTACACGTACGTGTGTACATGCTTGCTGTGAAATAGATTGGCATCTTGTCTGGGGTACCATAGAATGTGAGAATTAGCAGCTACACATGTAATGAATTTTCTGCTTTGGGCTGTTTTGCTCTCTCTTCCGTCTTTACCATCACCTGGAAGCCTGAGATCAGAGCTTTTAAGAAGATCACGGTCCATTTTTGAAGCCCCTCTTCTGTTCCTCTCTACCATACATGCATATTGAAGTTCTGTGCTGCTTTTGTCAGCATCAGCAAACCAGTGAGCAAAGCCTGGGGTCAGAGCAGGTTCAGCCAGAAGCCGCAGAATAACGGGGGTCGGGGCCGTGCTCAAGGGCTCAGCGCTGTGCCAGTTAACATTAATAAAAAAACAGCATAACCATCAGTGTCCTGAGGAAGGTACACGGTCATGTTTATAAGGGCCCTGCTCTCTAACCTCAAGCTTTTTTCATTTGCACACCTCTGCCTCTGCTAAATAAATCTATTGTATATGAAGTGTATTTATGCATATAAATACAGCAGTACAGATGCCGTGTGCATGCTCTCGCAAGCAGTAAGTCCGATTTAGGACTGGAAGAAAGAGTATTTGAGGTGGACAGGTCATGACCCCAAGGCATGCAATTTTGTTCGAATCATACGCACAAAGAAGCCGGGATCACTGTTGTCCTTTTAATTTGTGAGAGTGGCCTGATAGTTACAGCTAATAAAAATGTTTAAAAGCAACATCTTAACTGTAAAAAAATAATAATTTTGCGACTCTAGACTGTGCTTTATAGTGTGGGTTATGAGTACATAGATAAAGAAAAATATACAAACAAAGCAACCTACTAGTATAATTACCTGCATGGAATCAGTACTGGGACAAACATCAAGCAAACAAACATACATAATGCTAGGTGGGACTAGTAATAGCTATGCATGAAGTCAAATATCAAAGGCCAGCTAAATATGGGTTAATGAATGTGAAATTGTTTAACTGGTTATGTTTTGTTGCAGGAAATTAAATCATTTTCTTTTTTTTGTTTACACAAAACTGGGTTGGGGTGTGGTGTACAGATTATATTTCGTGTGTTTTGTCTTCCATATATTTCTTCACAACCACACTTTATATACTTAGTACGAACGGTGGAGGAGGGTCTTACGTGATGTGCGTTGGCATGTCAGCCCGCCGTATCCTTCCGCTGATTGGCGGCCTGCTGTGTTGTAGGAGGTGCTGAAAGGGTGTGTGCATGGTGATCATCCAGGATGTAGGGAGGGCGGGGATCTCCCTGCCCAGGTCAGGGGTCTCCCTTCGCTTTGAGCCGCCCTCCTCGTCCCTCCTCGTCCCCTCCTGATATCACCATTGCAGGATAACCCCCCATCTACACTATCTGGGCCTCATTTTCTGTGTGCACCCTTTACCCTGTGTGTCTGCTTCCTGGAAAAACAGCAAGCCCTGGGGCTCCAGTAAACACAAAGACTGAAAGCTCCTATTGAAGCGTGTTGTGCCGTGAGACTCGGAGAGACGGCGCCCTGAGTTTATTCTATGTTAAAGGGAGACACAGCATGTGTACCTCTTAGGTTAACCCTTTCAAACCGAAGAGTCATGGTTTGAATTACCATAACTCTTGAACCGTTTGCACAATAGAAAAAAATTCTGAAAGCAGAGAAGCTGCGCTTTTCAGTGATATTACTGTCATTACGGTAGTCCACCGCACAGCTTCACTGCAGCCCTGGGAATCTGAATGTTGGTTGCCGGAGGAGAAAGTGAGTGAGTGAGACGGAGCTCTGCAGAATAGTGATTTTATCAGAAATTTAAGGTGAAAAAATGGGACAAAGGCACATACTCACAGCAGGTTTTATGACACTTTTACAGCTAAAACAACCAAATATGTCCAGGCGACCTGTTTAGAATTATAGGGTTTAAAGGGTTAATCCCTGCATTATGCGCCCTATCATATTCTTATTATAAATACAAGTATTTCATTTAATGTGATCTTCAGTCCTAAAGGGTTTGCAGGCTTTGATAGAACTTATATTACTTCTGTTTTTTTATTTATTAGATTGTTGTTATTGTTTATTCTCCCTTTGATTTTCCACCTGCAGTTCATTTGGTCTTTGCCCTGTCCGTTTGCGGAGGGCTGATTTCTTCTGTTCTGTCAGTCTGTAACTGGGGCCAGTGTGTGGCTTGTATGTCAGTGAAACAGTGCACAATAGCCTAATAAGAATGATTATCGGCTGTGGCTCTAAGCCCACAGCTTAGCGTACAAATACCCTAAGATCATAAACAATATTAATGAAAGAAAACACCAGCTAGATTTAGAAGCATTAGTTTAGTTAAAAAATACCATAATCCGCTTGTTCTCTGGACTTAGCTCAATAACACTGAATTATTCTTCTGAAATAATATAGCTTGGCCTAAATCTGTAAAACCCAAATACAAAACATTTTTGTTTCTGACTGACAACTTGACAAATCTCCATTTGTGTATTCAGAGTCTTTTTGCTATAGTTAATACGTATCATTATTGCAGAAAATGTGCAGTAATGACTGCGGTGGTCGGTACAGAGATTCGGCCATGTTGTAGTCAGTGTGTCACGGCAAGTTTTGGCATCGATGTGTGGTGATGTTGCTCTAGGTGCAGAGGTCCCGGAACAAGCAGCTCAGGGAGATGTTCCCCGACGGGTTTGGGATCCACCACGCTGGGATGCTGCGTCAGGACAGGAATCTGATGGAAAGCATGTTCTCCCGTGGATACGTGAAGGTGCTGGTTTGCACCGCTACGCTGGCCTGGGGCGTCAATCTGCCCGCCCATGCCGTCATCATCAAGGTGCGTGTGTATGTCAGAAGGCAAACACTCCTTCTGCCATCTTGTGTGTGCGATTATAATTCATTCATTCATTTCGCGTGTTCATGTGTATGTGTGGGAGAGTGATTTCCAGTGTTCAGAGGTGATCTTGAATTAAACATAATGGCTTTTATTGTTACTTTTTTCGGAAATGTATATTTAATTGACATGTATCTGTATTTTGTGAACAGGGCACCCAGATTTATGACGCCAAGCGTGGCACTTTGGTGGATTTGGGCATCCTGGACGTGATGCAGATTTTTGGCCGTGCGGGACGGCCCCAATTCGACAAATTTGGCGAAGGCTCCATCATCACCACCCACGACAAACTGAGCCACTACCTCACCCTGTTGACCCAGCAGAACCCCATAGAGAGCCAGTTCTTGGAGAGCCTTGCTGATAACCTCAATGCGGAGGTAATGAGACCATGTTGGCCGGAAATGTGCAGGTCAGACGTACTCCTGCCCAGTCACCTGCTAGATTGTTGTGAATATGTATTGTGGCACTGTCCTTTAAAGACCATTCAAATCTAGACTATTGATTGAATTTTAAGCTTCAGTGTTTCACTTCCCATCTTGACCACATGGTGGCAGTACCTTTGAGGTAGATGTATCAGCTATGTAGCATAGTTGAACAGTAGATGGCAGTAAAAGTCCAAGTTCAAACAGCTGTCCCTCTTGTTCAGCTGACAAGGTAAAACATGAAAAGCATTTTATGGTGTATTTCATTTAAAATATAACGATATTTTATGTGTTATAAGGCACTTTCTAAATGTTGACCATTCTTTATTTTTGATCAGAGATACACATATTGAGATTTACAATTGCTTCCTAATCCTTATGGTTATTTATGTACAGTGAGTTTGTCAGTGTCAGCCATTGTATCAGCATAGGTGCATCTGTCTGTTTACAAAGACAGTGGCAGTGATTTTTATAAAAGTTGGGGTTAGTCATATCCTATACGGCCCTCACATAGACAGTGGGCGTCCCTCTGAAACAACTTCCACGCCGGTGACGTGGTGATGAACAGAATGGGAGGGGAGGAGCGAGCACATGAGAGACGAGGGCAGAATGAAAGGTAGAGATAAGAGTCAGCTGATCAGGATGGTGTACATCTGCTGTTTGCGAGACTACGCACAGGTAGCTAAACGTAAAGTGTAGCGATGTGTTCAGCTGTAGCAACAGGGCCTGCCTCCACTTCCGAAGCAGCAGATATGCTCTCCCTGGCACGACTTTGGTGTAGCTGCAGCGATGGGTAGTTCTCTTTTGGGTCGGGCGGCATCTTGCTTCAGCGCTGGCTTGTGTTTTTGTGGGGGAAAAGCAAGGATGGAGGATTGGATGATCTGTTGGAGATATTGTCTTTAATTCAAGAAATAGATGGAGATTAGATGGACTGGATTCATAAAAATGTTGTTTTATTCTATTTTATTTTTTCTGTGAATTCAGAAATGCATCAATGTTGAATAAGAAACCTTGTAGGAAACAATTGAAAAAGATGCAGTTTTACTTTGCAAACAGAGGGGGCAGTGTTTACAAGTGAAACTGCTTAACTGGTTTTTTTTTTCCCTTCAGTTTTTTTATTTAATTTTTTTATTCTCCAGTGATGCAGGGATTTCATAGGATGTGTTCCTGATATAGATGTAGGGATCCAAAATCTGTGTAAACATGGCAGCTAGAAGATTTTATTTTGTTTGTTTTTTATGCTCGTTTGCCAAAAAAGGACCTTGCTTCACCTTCTAGTCCAGCCTTCAGAAGCCCAAACAAATGATTTGGCAGCATTGATTTTGATGTCACCTCCTCAACCATATCTTATTACAGACACTCTAAGTTGTAGCTACTGTTTGTGAGATTGGTCTACTTTGTTTTTACCCCAAGGCTGTGAACTCATTGAATTATTGATCACTAAATTATTGAATTATTAAGTTATTGAACTCAGAATCAATAGAACAGGTACAACGTCTCTAGATCCTAAAAAAAACATTAAAACATTACCTAGACTCCATGACTTTAATCTTCCCCGTGAGTTCTCCTGAATGATGCTAACAAACCATAGCGAACACTGACACATACAGCAGTCAGTGATACAAAAACGTGATTCTCAAGTCCCTTCAAACCACATAATTAAATCTGCCTCCAGTTATTAACATATTTGATTCTGATGTTTTAGACAAACACATTGGCTTTAAATCTGCTGCTGTAATGTGCAGTTGACCACTGTTTTATAGTACTATAAATCTGCCACAGATTACACATCTTGTCATATTTAACAAACCAGACATTCCCAGAGTATGTTAGTTTCTATATTTGTGTGTTTGTATGTATATGTGTATATATACATACATATATATATACTGTATATGTGTGTGTGTGTATCTATATATATATACACATACATACACACACACACATATATATATATATACATTTAAAATGCATATGCGCATTCTTCTTGAATCTTTTTCAATTATTTTTACTACCAGCCTTAGCAATTGTGCAGCTAACATCTGTGTATAGTTACTCCTACCTCTGCTATGTCAGTGTGACCATTGCCATTATAAGATTACTCATCTTCAGCTGTCAGACAGGACAGTTTTAAATCTCAGACTTGTCTAGGAAAACTGCAGTGATTGTAGGCTCTAGGTCCAAAATGACATACCAGTTTCAGGAAACAAGGGTCAGCAAGAATTTGTCTGGGCTGCGTCCAGAAAAAGCCCATGTAGTGTTGAAGAAGTCACTGGAATTCAGCGGGACTGAAGATGACCTTCTGGGTTACATAAGAAGCTGTTTCATTTGACCTATGTGACCTTCTCTGAAAGTATGTATGGCAAGAATTGACTGGGGCTGGTGGGGGGTGTTTTTTTTTTCCTGTTTGGCTCCTGACATATAATATTATATTGCTGGTTAAATCGCCGCCTTCAAAAAGTTGTACAAAATCCCTTAGAAATGATGCAGACATGGACTGAGTAGCTGTTTCCTTGTAGGTGGCTTTGGGGACAGTCACCAACGTTGAGGAGGCGGTGAAGTGGCTGAGCTACACCTACCTGTATGTGCGCATGAGAGCCAACCCGCTGGCCTACGGCATCAACCACAAGGCTTACCAGGTTCACCATCTCGCCAGCCCACGCAGATTAAAACAAACCACTGTCTTTCCTTTGTGCCTCCTTTAATGTACCTACCTGTCAAACACTTTTGTTGAAAACCACATGTAGTTGTACAGTAACCAAAAGCAGCTCATCACTTACTCATGTGGTACAAGCTGTGGTTTCTCAGCATCCCAGGACCTAGCGATCTGACGTGGGCTCTGGATGTTTTGTGTTTGAAGTAAACAAACAGAGTTAAGGCAATAAATGAGTTTGTATTTTCAGTATTTTTAAATGGTGCGTGGCACGGATATTCTGGTATTTGTAGTGAAATGAATCTTGTCTATATATTGTAATACAGCGGTACCTAGGTTCTCGAACTCACTAGAACTCGAATTTCTTGAAAGTCGAACAAACCAGTTTGACCTAGAACTCGATCTGAATATCAGAAGTGGAACCGTGAACACTGACCTAATATAAATTGTACGCGCCAGGAAATGAGTCATATTACAATGCAATTCTTACTTGAATGCCTTCTTCACAGGCTGGACGATTAACCAAATAAAGCAGCGCAACATTACAGTAACTAACAATAAATAAACCACTAACTTACGTGTACTATTAGAGCATTTATGTTTTATCCTGTTCAATTTGTGTTTAAAAGCTAAAAAAAAAAAACCATTTATGTGTTATTTTGGGGGGCCCGGGAACCAATGAATTGGTTTTCCATTATTTCCTATGGGAAAAATTTGATCAGAACTCGAGCTTTTTAGGATTCGATCCGGAGTCTGGAACGGATTAAGTTCGAGAACCGAGGTACCACTGTATCTGTTTGTCGTCTCGCCGAGCTGGACGTTGCGTGCTTTGTGACTGGGATGGGGCTAACATCTCCTCTGCCTACAGATGGACCCAGGACTGGAGGTGTATCGGCGTGAGCTGGTGGTGGAGTCGGGCCGGAAGCTGGACAAGACCCGCATGGTGCGCTTTGAGGAGCGAACGGGCTACTTCTCCTCCACGGATCTGGGTCGAACTGCCAGCCACTTCTACATCCGATACAACACCATCGAGGTATTACCCTATTGACTGAAGCTGCCTTGGTACAATGACTGATTAATGTGTTCCTTAAATCGCTTTTCTCTTTCTCCTTTCCAGTTTGGTCTCATCATTGTGTGTAATTAGAGCCTTTTTACATTTAATAAAGACACAATCAGGAGAATCAGGCGTTTTGTGAGTTAATTGCAAAGTAAGGGCAGGTCAGACTGGTTGCGTTTATTCCCCGCCTCCCTGATTCTCACGTTGCTCATGTTGCGGTGCCATGATGAAAATCTTGGTAAATTGTCATAATTAGTGTCGTGACAATTACGGTAATTAATTTCTGTCAGTGTTTAGAGTGCGATGTTACACTGATAGTCACAGAGTTGAAGGTTGTCTAATGAATAAACATTGTGAATGAGTTGGTTTGGTGCATGAGGATTGTGATACATGACCGTATTGTGCGGGTGAGATGACCGTTCCTGCGGTGTTCAGGATGTCTATGGAAGTACTAACACAGGCAGAGCTTGTGGCCTCACGGCCAGGCCTGAAAAGTGCCTAACCCCGTCACCTGGATGTGCCGTCAACGCCGTATCCTTTTTTAACTCGAGGTGTCATGGTTTCTGCCGTCTCCTTCATTTGTTGTTTCCTGTCTTGCCTGCTTCCGGTGTTTCTTCTGTGAGAGATCTTCATTTATTGTTATTTCTCCACACCCGTCTTCTGAAGACATTTAATGAGCTATTCAACGCGCAAAAAACTGAGGCGGACATCCTGAGCATCGTTTCCAAAGCAGAGGAGTTTGAGCAGGTCAAGGTGAGCGCCGGAGGCCCTGCTTGCTGTCAGTCATCATCCATGCAGGTCCAGAGGTTCTCCCGCTATCCTGTCCTCTTCTTTTTCGTTCCCATCCTGCGCATCATCACATGAATACATTTTTCCACTGTCCACTCTGGATTTTTCTCTTTCTACTTTCACGCCTAATTTTTCAATCCGCCTTATGTTTATATGTTTATCTCTTTCTCTCTTTCACGCTTCACCTGTTATCTTCACCAGCTACTGCCTGTTTTTTTTTTTTTTTACTTTACAATTTTTTGGAGACATTTAAGAGACGTATTACCTTAACGTCAAGTCACTTTTTTTGTCATTTTACACACAATATGTGTGTGAGACTGTATTGACGGTTCCCAAAACTCAAGTGTTTTTCTTATTAAAAATAGGTGATTGAAGATCAAACGGTTTTGCTGATAGGACACTAGTCACTCTTAATTGAGGCAGATTCTGAATGTGGCTGCTGTGACTAGTGACACTGAGCGCTGAGGTCTGCACTTCTGGCGACATGTCGGCAGGTGCGTGAAGAGGAGCTGGAGGAACTCGAGCAGCTGCTGCACAATTACTGCGAGGTGCCTGCGGCCGGCGGCGTGGAGAACAGCTACGGCAAGATCAACATCCTGCTGCAGACGTACATCGGCCGTGGGGAGGTGGACAGCTTCTCCCTCATCTCCGACCTGTCCTACGTAGCTCAGGTGGGACAGTGTGGGAGTGATTCCCCTCTGAGATAAACCCCTTCTCCCTCATCTCCGTAGCTCTCATAAGATTGTGAGGCTGTAGTTAAAAATCACTAAGCTGTTCATGTCTCATCACCGATCGATCCTGTGTAGCTCAGGTAAGTCAATACATCTGTATCTTGTACATCTCGAAACAATAGCATCATTGCCGTCCTGTCCTGAGTGGACTTTTCCTGATGTTGGGGAGCACAATCTGAGATCAGTAAAGTAAGCTAAAACACACAGTGTATGTCTCTAACCAGAGTTTATAGAAGTGCTTGTTATTCGTCACAGTTTTAAATGGCTCAGCCATGTTCATCATTTTGTTGTGTTGAGTAGTTCTAGCTTTTTTACTTTTCAGTAGCAATTAAGTAATTGTATTCTTGTAATTGGTGGTTTTGGTGTTGGAACCAAATTTAGTAAATGCACCTACGATTGAAACGATGCATATTTTTACGAGAGACGCAAATTCTTTATGTACCGATATTTTCCCCCGTATCTCTTCCCATTCTCTGCTGAACCCATTTATCTTTGATTTTCTGTGGTAACTGATTCCATGTGTCTAAATATTTGAAATAGTTTCACCAAATTCCCTCTTTGCTCCTAATTCGCTAGATTTCAAAAGTGTTCTGGGGATTTTTGAACCAGTTGCCATTGTGCAGAATAAAGGATCTGATTCCAAATCCAGACTCGTTGGCTCTCTGCTGGCACTTAGCTGCTTCTCTCGCCACTACTGCTGGCTCTCAGCCCTACATCACTCTCAATGGATGTAGCAGCCGGCTTACACTGGGCTCCTGTTACGCTCCCCAAGAGCTACACTGTGTTTTAGTAGCATAGCAGAGCTCAAAGAAATAAAGGAATACAGACTTTTAAACATTACTTTGAAAAGGAAAAGTGATTTGCAAGGTTTTTTGTTGTTGTTCTCATCATTATTGTAATCAACATCTTATTTTTATTTATTGATCTGTCCATTGAATTTCACGTATCGTTAAAAGCGCTCTGTGCAGAATAGTTCGGTAGCTACTGGCACAGTGTTGAGCTGCAGAGTGTTACTTCCTGTCAAAGGCCTCCTTGGTTGATGCTGGGTGCAGGTCAGCTGTGATATGCTAGGGTGAGATGGCTCTCCGTAAGGAGCAAAGCGGACCATTGAAAGGAGCAACTCCATCTCAGTAAATCATGCCAGCTGTGCCTTAACAGTCACTGAAGGTGGAGCGACTGGCTGATGACGTGACTCCTCTTCCCCGCTCTCTCTCCCCTCCCTCCTGGCAGAACGCCGCCCGTATCGTGCGGGCCCTGTTCGAGATCGCCCTGCGTAAGCGCTGGCCCACCATGACCTACCGCTTACTCACACTGTGCAAGGTGATCGACAAGCGCCTCTGGGGCTGGGGCCACCCGCTGCGGCAGTTCCCCATCCTGCCCGAGACTGTGCTTTCCAGGCTGGAGGAGAGGAGGCTGACCGTCGACAAGCTGAAGGACATGAGGAAGGACGAGATCGGTGCGTCTCTGCAGGAGGCAGTGGCCACATGTGGTGTCATATTTGGGCCAGCAGGTGGTGTAGTGCTTAAGGATCTAGGCTCAGAAGCAGAAGGTTCCTGGACCTCAGAGTGGCCCAGCTGTAGCTTTGATCAAGAACCTTATTATTCCCTGTATTATTCCTTTAAAAATACAGCTGTGTGATTGGACGCAATTTTTATTTTTTCCAGCTAAACCACTAAATTTAAAGGGGGATCGAGATTCTTGCGACTGCACGGGGATCCTCTGAATCTATTGTTTCTCTTGAAGGGGAATGAGGCAGTTATCCCTCTGTGTTTCTATGGCGATCCTCTGAAGCCATGTTCTCTCTGAGGGAGCAGCAGACAGTGATGCGTTTGTGTTTCTATGGTGATTTCTTGAAAATCTGCCCTTACACCAAAGAGTGTCTAGTGCACTGTTAGGTTTCTAACATAATCCCTTTATCATCCGTTTTCTCTGAAAAGCCCGAAGACCAATGCTGTCTTTTGCAGCTTCTCATTTAAACCATTTGCAGTATTATTTAGGGTAGTGTTTTCTGGTAGATTATTATTCTGCAAAGAAGTAAAGCACTGAGTGCTGAGTATCAGTTGAGCATGAATATTATTTTTAATCTTTGCAGAGTATATATAGGGTCTATGCTTTTGTTCAAGATTCAAGCACTTTGTACAACCCCAAGGTGCATTAATAAATACAAAATAAGCTATAAATAAGTAAACACACAAATAAAATAATCATGCAAAATATGTCAACGTTTTCACAAAAATGCCATATACTGTACAGTGTTGAATCTTGTTATAATAGTCTTTTTAGAGAGAGTTACCATGTTTTGTATAAATACACAGTGTAACGCTGCACTGTTTGAAGGCTGCGTTCTCGTAATGCCATTTATGGTTATATTTCTTGCCGCAGGCCACATGTTGCATCACGTGAACATTGGGCTTAAGGTCAAACAGTGTGTCCACCAGATCCCCTTCATCCTGATGGAGGCCAGCATTCAGCCAATCACACGGACTGTCCTGCGAGTCCGACTCACTGTCACCCCCGACTTCAGGTGGAGTGACCAGGTATTATCACATATGTATCCTTATACAGCGACACAGCTTTATGACGGTGATTATTTTAGCATTTGCAGTGTTGTTATTTATCTTTACTATGGACTATGAACTAGTTTTGTATATATTTTCTTTGAACCTTTTTTCTTTTCTTTTAGCCAAAACATACAAGGTCCTTACTTGCTTTTGAGTTTTTATGCGACTTGTTTCACCTCATTTAACAGAGTGTGTTGTTTTTCTGACACTTCTGTGAGATTAGAGCTTTGTTTCCAGGCTAGAGTGCAGAGACACTTCTGAAAGATAAGGGATTTGTTTTAGAGGGTGACGGTGGAGACACTTCTGTGAGATTAGGCTTTCAGAAGGAGCATTCTAGCCAGGACAGATGTTCAGCGGAGATGCCGATCTGTCTTTGTCCTTTTTGGTCACATACACACAGCCACACATTCTTATCTGCCCTTTCGGGGATCACTTATCTCTACATTGTGGAGAGTGAAACTTCTGTGTATTTGTATTGGTTTTTGGGTGGGATTACGTGATATGTGTGTTTGCTGTAACACACATAACTATGTGAAGGAAAACGTGTGAATTTGTCTGTATGACAGAAACATAGAGGACAGCACCTCTATTCAGAAGTGAGGTTTGTGGGACACTGGAACAGGTTGAGATCAGAAGAGGTGGCATTTGGCCAAAGTCTGGGGGGGGGGGGGTTTGACAGTGGTGCTGTTCCAGTTGGCCGCCACTTGCCACGTTTGCTTAAGCCAGGCCCCCGAGTGGCCATTTGCATGTACAAGTACCAGGCGTAGGGTCAAGCCTGGGCAGTGGCAACTGCCGTCTGGAAAAGCTGTGGTGTCCTGAAGGCCGCAGTGGGGGTAGCTGTGTGAAATGATGCATGGACACCCCCCCCCCCCCCAATAGCGTTTTTCATTAGCCCCCAGCCACCGTGCTAGAGCACATCTGTCCATAAGCAGAGCAGCAGCTTTCAGACTGAGAAATATGGGGTGGGAACGTAATATCGGCATTTCTGCAGTACCGCCAGGGACCTCACGTTAGAGCGAAACCCCACGTTATGCAAAATCGACGCAGCTTATGGAAAAAATAGCCTTCGGACCATTATGTTCATTGAAAACATTTTATACGATCAAACTTTCTTTGATATTCACCATCTAAAATTTCACCACTGTGCAATCTCCTTGGCACAGTTTGTATCATTTCCTTGTTCACTCATACGCCAATGAAGTGGACTGTGAAAATGATTAGTGGTGTCTCTCTGTCTCCGATGGTACAATACTCACTTAGATACATGATCTACAAAACAGTACAGAAAAGATATACTTAAACATTCATGAGGATTCAATACAGCTCTGATGCGATATTATGTAAATCAATTTATCATTGATCATTTGAAGTAAAAATACATGAAATGCAGCTATATAGTTTTCACATGGACCAGATTTCCAGTTTGAATCAATTTTCCAATAGGTCTCTAAAAATGAGTATGAGCTAACTGAGTATGAGTATGAATGAGTATGAGCTAACTGAGTATATGAGTATGAATGAGTTTGAGCTAACTGAGAATGAATATGAACTAACTGAGTGTACATAGACCAACACATTCAGGCATGTTATGCTGCTGCATCGAACATAAACATATCAGGGATGAAATTGCATATAAGCCAACAGAGATTTGCGCTATACAAACAACTTTCCCCTGTTTGCCAATCATGTATGAGCCAATCCATGTCTTGGAAACATTCAGAATATCAGAACTGCCTGTAATAGCAGCAGGATTTTAACCAGTATGCCTCTCCTTGTTTAAAGGTGTGTGTCGACTACTCTTTTAAATTCGCGAACATTGAAACATTATTAACGTTCAGGCAAAACACAGATAACATTTCGGAATTGGAGCCTGTCGACCCTTAACAGTCAGGGAAATGCCAGGGATTACAGAGTTCTGGTGAAGAGATTACCACCGATATGTTAATGGCTTTCTGCCTTCTTAAATAGGAGACCTATTGTTCGTGAGCTGCGAGTACATGCTGAATGCGAAGATAGATGTTTGTGTCCTATTAGTAATGCATGCTTATAGCATGGGGCAGTGGAAATGGACCAGGGAGAGCTTAGACACGATCCGCTCCATATGGGCGTAACTCCTGGTGAGATTCTCTCTACATGTATGTATGCTTCGGATCTCACTGTGAAGCACTGCATCAGCGGATCTAATCTTCTGATTTTTAAGTTGGTTAATTAAGTTTTTAATGTTTTGGAAATTGCCTTAATTTTTTAATTAAGATTTTTTTTTTTTCCTGACAGAGAAAGGCAATTACGCTATTAATATGCCTTCATTGTTCCACATGCTCGCTCTGTCCTGCCTCGGCGTGATCCCCCCCCCCCTCTCCGAATCCCCATCACCAATTCTAGTGATTATGCTCTGGCTGTAGACGGTCAGCTTGAAGGAATGGCGGAGTAGTCATCATAAGTCCTGCGGGTTCTTCCTGTTCTGTTTCAGAATTCGGCTCTCAGTTGACAGGTGATCTCATTCTTTCCTTTCATCTTTTACCCTTCTGTCAGGTCCACGGTTCTGTGGGGGAACCCTGGTGGCTCTGGGTTGAGGATCCAGTCAATGATCACATATATCACTCCGAGTACTTCCTGCTTCAGAAGAAACAGGTCTGTGACCTCTGATGTTGACGGCCATAGCTCGCCTCCTGCCTGACAGATCCAGCCCATCTTCTGCTCTCTGGTGCCTGCAGGTGGTGGCGTCTGAACCGCAGAACCTGGTATTCACTATCCCGATATTCGAGCCCCTGCCGTCGCAGTACTACATCCGCGCCGTGTCCGACCGCTGGCTGGGCGCCGAGGCCGTCTGCATCATCAACTTCCAGCATCTCATCCTGCCCGAGCGCCACCCGCCACACACTGGTGCGGCACAGCCCTCACGCACCCCATGCATGCATCTGCGACATGTCTGAGCCTGTGGCATCCCATACATCACGCGCCCCGCATGTAAATGACGTAGACAAGTACAACACACCTGTGAAGTTCCTCGCATTCATCTATAACACATTGTTAACGGAATTCCCACGTATTTGAGCCGTTTGTCATTTAAACCTCCCACAGCATTCAAATGTATGACACTTACAAGTTGTTAATCGGTACACTTGTATTGCATTTACCTACATAAACCCTTCCGGCCCTCCGGGCAAATTTAAACTTTATCGTAGGTCACCTGTTTCAGCAAACACGGTGACATGCAAGCAAAACACAAAATTCCACGCACCGGTGGAAGGCTAGGGGCATAAATTCACCACACATTAACTCCAGCGCCTCGATTTGCATGGGAACGGCAGGTGAGATGACCTGACTCGTTATACAGCATCCAAAGTGTTAATTAGCTCCTAGAATTCATTAGCTTGATCGTAACCATTAAACGGATGCTCTTGAGGTTAAACAGAGCGTTTCTCTGTTTTCTCACAGTTCTGTTTACTTGGATGCCTTTGGTCCATAACTTTTTCCTGGTATTGGGAAAGTAGTACTGTTCCAAACTCTTTACAAGCCTCAATGTATCATAATCATTCAAGCAGGCTCTGTCAGGTCACCCATGCTGGGGAATTGCTTTGAAGCTGCTTTGGTATTGTTCTGACGCCCCTCTAATGGTCACACATTGCAGAGCTGCTGGACCTGCAGCCGCTCCCGGTCAGTGCCCTGGGGAACCGGGAATATGAGAGCCTGTACAAGTTCACGCACTTCAACCCCATTCAGACCCAGATTTTCCACACACTCTACCACACCGACACCAATGTCCTCCTGGGAGCTCCGACCGGCTCGGGCAAGACCATCGCAGCAGAGATGGCTATTTTCCGCGTGTTCAACAAGTACCCATCCTCAAAGGTGGGTCTTCAGGCATCATAAAAGGCTCTCCAAGCTGTTTTCCAATAGTAGTGACTTTACAAAGGTCTTGTTTATAAAACTACTTTTTCAGTAAAAAGGAATTAAGGACCGATGTTTCCTGCTGGTCCCTGGCAGTCTGCATTAATGCTACATCAGTTATCCCATGATATGCTATCCCTGTTTGCTCATCAGCGGTTCTCCTCTGAAACGCAGGTGGTCTACATTGCTCCGCTGAAGGCTCTGGTCCGAGAAAGAATTACGGACTGGAAGTTGCGCATAGAAGAGAAGCTCGGAAAGAAGTATGTCCAGGACTACTGCTGATGATTTTAGTTTATGTGTTATGCTATTATTAGCATTGCAGGGCGTTCCACAAAGCAGGATTTCTCAACTGGGTTAACTTAAGCTAGAAGTCATGATTCTCCAATAAGAATGCTTACTACCTAAACTCTTATTGGACAATTATACCTTCTAGCTTAAGTTAACCTGGCTAACTGAGAAATCCTGCCTTGTGGAACACTCCACTGGTGCTAGTAATGATTGTTGATATTGTTGTTTTCTTGCTTGCATGTATAACTAAAAACGTCATATTTGTATTCGATAGTGTGTTTGTATGTATTGAACACTGTCCTTGGTTGTTTCAGTCTATGTGATACACACACACACACACACACATTTGTACAGTAGACTGTGTGCATTGTAGGCCGTGCCTTCGTGTCTAGCTGTTAACTCGGCAATAACCCTCTCAGGGTGGTGGAGCTCACGGGCGATGTGACACCTGACATGCGGGCCATCGCCCGTGCCGACCTGATCGTGACCACCCCCGAGAAATGGGATGGGGTGAGCCGCAGCTGGCAGAACCGAAGCTACGTGCAGAAGGTGGTCCTCCTCATCATCGACGAGATACACCTGTTGGGTACGAGACGGCGTGTTCTTTGGCGTCCCCGAGCTTCCGACTCGCTGCCCCTCACCCCGCCACTGACGCGGTGGAACCAGCACCGGGCCGCATGCCCACACTCCTTCCGAGTTGTTTGTTCGTGCCTCAGCTCAAGCACATTTTACACTGCTGGGCTTATTGCCTTTCCAGTGGCTGGAACTGCGCCAAGGTTTAATTGGCAGAGGGCAGAATTCCAGAATGTCCTCACCTCTCCTCTGGGTTTCCATTGCTGCTTGACAATAGTGTTGCTATTTTCTCTGTATGATGATGAGGAGGGTGATGTGTGTTGACTGTCATTATTGTGTGATCTTACAGTGTGAGATTCTGTGCTGGTTTCTTAAGGGTTCAGAAGCTGATCTATGCTTTGCCTGCAGGGGAGGACCGTGGCCCAGTTCTGGAGGTCATCGTATCTAGGACCAACTTCATCTCATCTCACACCTCCAGAAGCATGCGAGTGGTGGGTCTGTCCACTGCCCTGGCCAATGCCCGTGACCTAGCCGACTGGCTCGGTATCATGCAGGTAAGGCCCCGGGTAAATCCTGAGTAAATCCTGAACCCTTTGAGTAAACTCTGAATATACCTTACGATGTCTATGCTGTTTCTTGTACTTTTGTAAGTGGTTGTGTCTTTTGAGTGGAAATGTAGTTATGAAAAAGGAATGGAATTAATCTTTTTTTTTTTGCCTTTTGATAAATGAGCTTCGTTTATTAAGCGCCAACAAAAATGAGAGTACATTTGTATGAACACATATATTTTTTCTTTTAATGTTTTGCCTTTAAAGTTGGTCTACCTAATTTAAGGAATCAAGTAGGAAAGCATTCGAGATGTTTTTATAATGTTTTTTTATATATATATAAGTTTTAGCTATGGCATTCGCGTACTTGCTTAAGTTCTCTCAAATACTCTTGGAGTTTTGTGAAAATATTTTTGACGTTGTGCCGAACGGAAGGTACACCTGCGTTTCCGGTTGTACACCTGCGTTTCTGGGTGTACACCTGCGTTTCCGGGTGTGCACCTGCGTTTCCGGTTGTACACCTGCATTTCCGGGTGTACACCTGCGTTTCCGGTTGTACACCTGCGTTGCCGGTTGTAGCTGAATGCTGAGCCAGCGCATCGGTTTCCACTCGTGTTTAATGCCGGCTGTAGAACCACTGCAGCAGCGTTGGGACGAGTGTAAACAAACAGCTCGGCCGCTCCCCTCAGGGGGGGGCAGCGCTCGGGGAGGCTGACAGTCGTCCTTCATAAATCTGACCAGGGCTGTTTGGACTGGAGGGTGCCTCGGCGTCTCAGCCCGTTACAGAGCCCATTAGATATGTGTGCTCACGCTCGCCTCGGCTGCCCACCCGCCCTTTTGAGGAAGCGGGGAGAGGGGCGAGGGGCATTAAAGGCCAGTAATTACCCCCAGATGGGGCCCACACCAGTCCTCCTATGTCTCAGCATCTATCCATTTCAGAAAAGCGAGCGATAGCAAGGCTTAAACAGACCCGGCCTGCTATAACGCAACCTTGGACTCACCAGTGCATACAAGTATCGCATGTTACCACACTCCTCTAGTCAGCCCCTGCGAGATCAATCCCATAATAATCGATGTAATAATAATAGATATACCGTGTTGTTTTTCTGGTGAGTTTAATAAAACGTGTTACTAGGTTTAGTCAATCGATTGGCAATTAATGCTTTGATCCAAAATTATCTGTATTGCTCATTAACCTTTAATTTGCTGGGTTTTAAAAGTTTGATGGCCTGTGCCACTTTGTCTCAGATCTTGGTTTGTCTGCTGTCCCACAGTGAAGGTGGGGGGGGGGTTGTATGTTAGTGATGCTCGAGCTTCTCTCCAGTACCTTGCCACCTTATTTACAGCTAGTTCTCCAGTCTCTTCTGTGTCTCTCCCTGGCTCCGCCTACCTTTCCCAGAATCCCTCCATATTTGCACTGACCCCTTTGCGTCCTTTCCCTCCCATTCTCCCTCAGGTAGGGCTCTTTAACTTTCGGCCCTCAGTGCGCCCAGTTCCGTTAGAGGTCCACATCCACGGCTTCCCTGGCCAGCACTACTGCCCCCGCATGGCCAGCATGAACAAGCCAGTCTTCCAAGGTACCCCTCCCACCTCCAGACACATCTATAGCCACATTCGCTTCATTCTTCTACATCACATCTGTTGAATGACACCAATCATATTTTATATACAGACGCTCCCTGGGTTACGATGGTCCGTGTTACGATATTTTGACTTTACGATGGGTAAAGTACATTATTCAATAAATCACATGAAATCCTATTATAAAATAGGATTTGTGTCAATGATTTTGTCCAATCCTGGGCTAATGAATGTCTTCTAAGCGTGTTTTTAAGCTAAGCTAGGCTAGGCTATGATGTTTGGTAGGCTAGGTGTACTGTATTAGAATGCATTTTTGCCTTACGATATTTTTGCCTTTCAATAGGTTTGTCAGAATGTAACGCCATCGTAACCCGGGGAGTGTCTGTATTACTGTTCAAGTAGTGATGGCTATGATGTCATTTTGATGTTTTTGGTTGTATGATGGATTTGGGTTTGGTTATGGGTTAAAATGTCCCTGTGCTGTTAGAACGTCAGTGTGTCCCAGAATCTGCCATTATCACGGCATCCTGACTGGGCAGGACGGATTATACGCTCGCAGTGATATAAAGCGCAGTTGGCGTGTGTGTTTGGGGACCCGCCATGTCGCCACCGGACAGGCCAAGACGGATAGTCAAACTCGCTCTGTTATTAGCAGTTAATCCTGATGCTTCTCATTGATTCAGCCATCATGGGGAACAATTCTGGTCTTGGCACATCCCTCTGAAGCTGCCAAGGCCACATAAATCCTGCCACACAGGCTGCACGCACTGCGCTCCGAGCAGCCGGCGGACGCGGGTTTTCATACACCTTAGCTGAAATGCACATTGTATGACACACAAAGGGCGCAAAGCACAAGAGGGGCTTGAGCAAACACCCCTGATTGGGTCCCAAACACACGGCCATCCGGGACTCCTTTGAAACACACACAGCCCCAAGCGGTCACAACACCCCCACACCCACCGCAAACAACTCCATCGCTGTGCACACTAAGTAACTGAGCCGTAAATCTGCCACACGTAAAGGCATTTAGTTAGACAGATGATACTACTATCTGAAACCTTTATACAGCTGGGTAGTTTACTACAGCGAGGTCCTTCTTAACATATCTGCCAGCAGCTGTGTCTGTAGTAACCATGCCGTCTGTCAGTTGGCTCTATCAGTATCATGCCTCAGAAGGCCGATGTATTCTGGGCGTAGTATTGTCCTGAAAGCACAGTACAGGTGACTTCGGCTGTCTCTCCCCACCAGCGATTCGCAGTCACTCTCCCGCCAAGCCCGTGCTGATCTTCGTGTCGTCACGGCGACAGACGCGTCTCACGGCGCTGGACCTGATCGCTTTCCTTGCCACCGAGGACGACCCCAAACAGTGGCTTCATCAGGACGAGGGGGAGGTGAGAGGAGAGTTTTGTGGGCCCATGTTCCCGTGTGCTGTAGAAACCCTCAGCCCATCCTCCGCAATGTTATTTTCCTGACGGCTCGGAAAGGGCGGCGCGGCGGTCAGCACGGAACCTCGTGTTTCACCGCGGTGTCTCCACAGAGGCCCGCCTCGTCCTCCTCATCACAGCCAGTCAAAGCCACTGCTGCCTTCCTCCATCATTTCTAACCTTTGCTGTAATTGCAGGAGAAGCTCAGCCAGCATCACCAGGATCAGCGTGCTTCCTCTTACATATTTCTGCATCCCTTTTGATTACTTCAAGATGGCCACAGATACGGTCTACAATTTGAAGCCATAATTTTATAGCCCTCAATTATGGGTGTTCTGAAACGTTACACAATACAAAATGAGCCTTCCTTAGAATTTTCTCCCAAGAAAGCAAGAATTGTCCTCAATCTGAGTAACCTTCAAATCCCTCAACTTAAGTGTTTACATTCCCCAGTAGGGGGTTGGGGGTCATTTCAGCATGAGTCCCAGCTCCTGGGCCGTTCTGGCTCAATGAATCTGAATCTTTGGGTTGTAGTACTCTCATGGTGCAGTACTTTCAACTATGACACAAATATCACTTTTCTTTGTGTGTGCTTGTGTGTGTGTGTGTGTGTGTGTGTCTGTCTGTATTTATCATCGTCTGTCATATCTCTTGATTGGCCATAAATTGTCCAGTGATTATGTCCCATTGCACAGTATTTTATCAATATACCCTGGGTACATGTATAGTATGAAGACTACAGTGACAATGTGGCATGTTAACTTGATTTGTGTTGCACTCCACATTCCGTCTGTGCCGTAGGATTCTGTTTGTTCTGTAGGCATTGCGGTTGCCAGTGATCTCACTGTTCCCCTACCAGCCTTCACTGTGCAGAGATTAATGGAATCGTCTGATAGTGAACAGCTGCCCTGAGATGCCCAGCCACATAGTCTCCCAGGATGCATGTTTATTTACCCCCCCCC